AGGCGGAGGCGGCGGGACGCGCGCGGGGGGAACCTCCGCCCTGCCCGGCTCGCCCCGGGCGGGAGTTCCTCCCAGGACTTTGGCCCGTGGACGTCGCGCCCCCCGGAGTGGCGGGGCCGCCCCTGCTCTGCCTCTGAGACGGGAGCCAGAGCTCCGGAACTGCCTGGAAAAGGCGCCTTTCCCAGAGAAAAGCAAACAGTAACTAACGCGCTCGGGGCCCGCGCATCCTTCTCGCCCCCTGGGCTCGCAGCCTCCTTCCCAGCCTCCTGCACCCAAACCAACACCGTGTTTCCAAAGCCTGCCAGACGCGCCCCAAGGCGAGCGCTCTCCCCGACCCCCACCCCTTCCGCCTCCCCTCCCTTCCCCTCGCCAGCTTGGCCTGGTTTACCTCACACTGTCACCAAATAACCTTATTACCCCTCAGGACAGTCTGCACTGAAGTTGCTTGACCTCGCACAGCGTTCTGTGCCCAGCTTGCCACAAGATTGGATCTGCTCCGAAAAATGCATGCACCCAATAAGCCTCTAGGTACTCCTCTTTCTTGCCTCAGTAGTTCTACGCTACACATTCTTCAATAAAGGAAAACTGCATGAAATTCCCTATATATGGTATCAACGATACCCTACAATAAACATGTTTAAAAGAGTAAGAGCTAATAGTTCTTGAGACCACGTGCCAGCCATTCTTCTGAGTATGGTATGTGCATTCTCTCTAGTTCTAATGACCACTCTTGGGAGGTGGGAACCATTATCCCCAATTTAAAAGTGGTGAAAGAAAGGCACAGGAAATTGAAGGATTTGTCCAAATCAGGCAACTCTTTTTTTTTTTTAAAGACTTTATTTATTTATTTGCGAGAGACAGAGAAACAGCATGAGAGAGGAGAGGGTCAGAGGGAGAAGCAGGCTCCCCGCTGAGCAGGGAGCCCTACGTGGGGAGCCAGGATCACGACCTGAGCCGAAGGCAGATGCTTAACCAACTGAGCCACCCAGCCCCCCCAAATTAGGCAACTCTTAAGTAGTGAAGCCAAAATTTAATCCTAACTCCAGAGCCCTAAACTGGATCATTATATTGGCCTCACCACTCATTAATAATACACACCCAGCAACTAAATATTATATGCTCGTGAAATGACCACTTTGATCAATATGAAGAGTCACAAAAGGAGCCGAAGACAAAGTCAGAGTGAAAAACCAAAAATGGAGAAGAGATGAGAATGGAGAACCTAGAGGAAAGGGAGAAATAGCAGAAAAGGAGTGATTTCTGTGGAAATGGAAGGGAGGCTCTGGGATCAATAGACCAAAGGTCTTACCAGTTCCTTCCTTCTCTTCTATTGGGTGCCACTATTTAGAGAGCTGTTTCTCAGTGGCCAGGAGGTGCTCAACACACATAGAATTTTCTGATTTAGAAAGCAGGACTCGATGCTCCTCTTCGTTTTGTAGATGGTAAAGAAAAAAAGATAGTTGCTGATGGTGTGGGAAGAAGAGCAAACAAACAACAATGCTCTTACAAAGCCTGGACTAATAGGCAGTCTGGATGTCATTTTTCACTGCCTCTGAAAACAGACAAAAAAATATTCCTTCTGGATGCTGACAATAACGACAGAATATTCTCTTGTGATTATCTGATCTAGAAAGAAAGAAAGAAAGAAAGAAGAAAGAAAGAAAGAAAAAAAGAAAGAAAGAAAGAGAGAGAGAAAAAGAGAAAGAGAGAAAGAAAGAAAACACTTGAAACACGCTACAAACCATGAATTCCAACCTGGCAGAGAAGCAGGGGTAATAATGACCACAACATTCCACGTATACTGCCTTGATGTCCCACTCCAATTGAGAAGCTCCTCCTGGGTGCTCCTGGAGTGCCCATCCTCTATCACAGTGATGAATGATCATGAACCACTGAGAGAAGAGATGAAAGCTGTAATTGTGGGTAGCCAAACTGCCTTCTTCCCAGTATGCCCCTGGCCTTTCCTCACTCTGCAAAGTGTAAGAGCGCTTCCAAAGGAATCATAACACTTGGGGAAGATTGCCTGTTACTCCCTTTCCCTTGGATAGAACTAAGAATGGAGTTTGCCTCTGTGACTTTCCTTCTTCGAAGTTTCCATTCCCCCCCATTCCCTGTGCTCTGTCCTGCCCCATTTTTCTGATGGATCAACTCTTGTTAATGTATTCAGTCTGACTTCATTCAGACATTACACTATCTTAACAAGATTTTGCTTATTACAACTTTGATCCTTTATATGTTGGTATTTAACTTGAAGAAAATCAGCTTGTATACCATACTCTTGCAGGACTGCACAGTTAGATTTCTCTTCATATAGATGTCATACATACCATGTATATATAGGTACAGACCTAGATATAGATGGATATAGCTATAGATCACTGACAAGTATCTAGAAAAGAATTTCTTAAACCATTCCTGGAAGTAGGGTTCTCTCATATTTCTTTAAATTAGCAGCCTCCAATTTCTTAGGAAACTTTCTTGCTTACAAATATTTAGGGAAAATTAGGGGCGCCTGGCTGGCTCAGTCAGAAGAGCGTGCAACTCTTGATCTCGGGGTCATAAGTTCGAGCCCCATATTGGATGTAGAGATTACTTAAATATTTTTTTTTAAGATTTTATTTATTTATTTGACAGAGACAGACACAGTGAGAGAGGGAACACAAGCAGTGGGAGTGAGAGAGGGAGAAGCAGGCCTCCTGCGGAGCATGGAGCCCGATGTGGGGCTTGATCCCAGGACCCTGGGATCATGACCTGAGCTGAAGGCAGACGCTTAACGACTGAGCCACCCAGGTGCCCCTTAAATAAATATTTTTTAAAACACAAATATTTAGGAAAAATTATATTTTGTGACTTAGTACCTCAAACCAACTTCTCGCCAACTTTGCATGAATATTGCTTTCTCTTGCTCTCATTCATTCATTCATTCCTTAAACAGATATTTATTAAGTACCCCTTATGTCCTAGGAACAACAGGAGGCATTGGGAAATCAATGACCAGTAAGATGTCAGTGGTCAGTGGTCCCTGACTTCATGGAGCTTATGTTCTGGGAGGGAAGAAGCAAACAAATACATGACAAAACAGACCAAAAGCAGACAACAACAGGGATGCATGAGTGGTTCAGTCAGTTAAGCCTCCAACTCTTGGTTTCAGCTCAGGTCATGATCTTGGGGTCATATCAGCCCCATAGTGGGCTCTGCACCCAGCGCAGAGTCTGCTTGAGATTCTTTCCTCCTCCCTTCCCCTCCCCCTTTGTTCTTCCCCACCCCCAGCCTCTGCTCATGCTTCCTCACTCTCTAAAATAAATAAATAAATAAATAAATAAATAAATAAATAAATAAATAAATAAAATCTTTAAAAAAGACAACAAAAAAGATAAATTAATACAAATATTCCAAATTGTAATACTGATAAGCAGGATACAGCATAATGGTTAAGAGCAGAAGCTAATCTGCTTGGGTCAAATCCAACTTCGCCACTTACTAGCTATGTGTGCCTCAGTCGCCTCATCCTTAAAGAGGGGACAATAATATAATTACTAACAAGATTGTTGTGAATAGAACAATATTTGACACCTAATAAGCAGCATATGTGTGTTTGTTTTTAAGTTTTTGGGAAAAAAAAAAGAATAAGATTGAGATAGAAAAAAGAAACAACAGAATAATCAGTGGAGATCTCTCTGCAGAAGTGATATTTACCTTAATATCTAAGGTATCTGAAGGAACTGGATATGCTAAATGTGGAGGAAGAGCTTTCCAGGAAGAGGGAAGGGCATGTGTAAAGGCCCAAGGCAGAAAAGAGCTTGGTGAGTGCAAAGAATAAAAATCAGAAGCTGAGGCTTATAAGCCAAGGGTAGGTGACCTACGACTGCACTAGAAAGACAACACAGAAGGGACACTCAGATCATGCCTGCCTTGCAGGTTAGACTAATTTGGATGTTGAACACCTGAAATTAATATAATATTATACGTCAATTATATCCCAATTTTTAAAAAAGAAAAAAAGAAGAATATGGTATTTCAAATTGCAAACATTTGCAGAGTAAAAATTTTCCAAGGCAAATGAGTTTCACACCACACAAGAACAAGAGGAGACAAAATACTTCTATTTTGCTTCTCAGCATGCTTTAGAAAAAATTTTAAATAACCCTAACTGGTTTAGCCTTAAAGTCAGAATAGCTGGTAGGTTGTAACCTGGGATTTTAAAGCTGCCAGAAAGGACTTTTTAAATCCTCTGCTCTTCTTTCTAATTCCCCTCAAAATGATGCCTGAAACTCCTTTGGTAATAAAGAAAGATGCTTATTATCTCATAATTAGAAATAACTTTGAAATGCAAAAAGTTATTAAACTTAAATTTATATTTATATTTGCTTTATATTTTTTTCCTGATTCTGATAAGAAAATACCCCAAGGAAGGAACTGAAGGGCTGAAGAAGTGGAGGCTGGGAACATTGCAGACAAACATTATCTAATTCACATCTGTGCCTAAGGCTGGCCTTGCATCCAGCTCTTCAAGATTTGAACAGAATTTCTTAATATGCTTCTTTCTGCCAAAATATATCCCCTTCTCTGGTTTTTTGATGGCCCTAGAATTTATATAGAGATTCCGAACCTGTTCAGAAACATTCCTTTACCCAACAGCTTAAAAAAAAAAAGAAAAAGAAAAAGAGAAGAATAAGGAATTTGGGTTTTACTCTCAGTGCAGTGGGAGACTTGATTATTTAGTCAGGAAATGAAATTATTTCATTTATATTTTAGGAACATCACGACTACACACAAAAAAA